ACCGCTTCTCCAGCCATGCTGAGGCCACGTCCCACATACAGCAACTAGAAGGATGTGCAGCTATGACATACAACTATCTACTGGGGCTTTGGGGGAAAATTAATTAATTAATTAATTAAAAAAAAAAAGAAATGCTTGACTCCTCTGAGGTCATAAAAGTATTTTCATACATTGTCTTTTGAAACAGTTAATCATTTCAACTTTTGTGTTTAACACTTTGGTACGCTGGAATGATATTTGTTTTTGATCTGGAAAGCAAAATATTATTTGTCATTTTCAATTCCTTTTTTGAGAGTTTTTTTTATAGTGGTAAAATATATATAAAATAAAATATACTATTTCAGCCATTTTAAGAACGTGGCATTAAAAGCATTCACAATGTTTAGTGACCATCACCGCTATCTATTTCCTGAACTTTTTCATCATCCCAAATAGAAACTCTGTACCCATGAAATAATGACTCCCCATTTCATTCTCTTCCCAGAGATTTCAGAAGGACCCCAATACTTTGACTTCAGCCCAATGTAGCAGTCTTCAGACTTCTGACCTCCAAGACTACAAGAGAATACGTTTGTGTTGTTTTAAGCTACTAAGTTTGTAGTAATGTGTTACAATGACAATAGGACACTAAAACAGGCACATGTCCCAATTCAGGCTGAGGATAAAAATAATGGCTCTGGATGTCTGTTTGTAAAGATTACGTCTGCATTGCAAAGAGATCCAAGAAGAAGCAGTCAGTTTTCTATTTCTGGTTATTGTGTCTGGAGTGTCCCTGCACTGCTGCTTGCATTGGTGACCATCAGGACAACAGCCTTAGGAAGAAGCTAAAATATGGCAAAATGAAATGCAGCCCTGTGGTTCTGTGCCTGGGCCTACTCAATCTCCTAACAATGGAAAGATGATCATTGTTTTTATCGTTAGACGCTATTGGCATCGAGACTTTTGCATTATTACTGCTGAAGGCATGCATCCTCACTGATAAAGTTGAAGTATCTCAAATATTCCCAAAATGTAAAGTAATATAACTATGCCAATTTTATAGATGATGAAACTGAGCTTAGAGAGTTGGAATAAATTGTCAAAGGCCACATAGCTATGGTTTAGCAGAGGTAGGATTCAAACCCAGTTGGTCTGATTCCAAAATTCTCACTCTTAACCATTTGATCTCTGGTCACGTGTATTTAAAGAAGTCGTGCTTTCTGGATCGCTCATGATTTACTTCTCTCTGTCATGTTCCTGCAGCGTAAGCCCAAAGCAATTGACACATCAATGGAAAGATGATATTCTAGTGATGAGTTTCCTCAAAGCCTCCATCACGTCTTTGTTCCTCAGACTGTAGATAAAGGGGTTCATCATAGGAGTGACCACCATGTACATTACTGAGACTATTGCACTCTTCCTGGAAGAGCGAGTAGCTTCAGAACTAAGGTACACCCCAAAACCTGTCCCGTAGAACAAGGTAACAACTATTAAGTGTGACCCACAGATGGAAAATGCCTTATACTTTCCACCAGCTGAGGAGACAATTTGAGTATAAGAGAAAATTATTCCAGAGAGAGGAACAACACCCAACAGACTGGTCACTAAATACACAAGGATATTATTGATGAGGGTATCAGAACAGGCGAGCTTGAGAATATGAGCTAGTTCACAGAAAAAGTAAGGAATGTTGAGGTCTGTGCAGAAGGACAGCTGCAGTGCCTTCAATGTATGGACCAGGGCATCCAGAATACTAATAAAGAAGGACAGCAGAACCAGAAGCCCACAGAATTTGGAGTTCATGATAACATTGCACCTCAGTGGGTGACAGATGGCCACAAATCGATCACAGGCCATCATTACGAGAATTCCATTTTCCAATCCAGCAAAAGTCAGGACAAAGCAGATCTGGGTGAGGCAGCCCATGTAACTGATGGATATGCTCTGTGTCTGGATGTTCATGAGCATCTTTGGGATCGTGGTCGTGGTAAAACAGATGTCAATGAGAGACAGATTAGAGAGGAAGAAGTACATGGGAGTGTGGAGGTGGGCATCAGAGATAATGGCCAGCATGATGAGCAGGTTACCAAGCACAATGACCAGGTACATGGACAGGAACAGGCAGAACAGGAGAGGCTGCAGTTCTGAATCCTCTGACAGTCCCAGGAGGAGGAATTCTGCAGTCTCAGAGAGGTTTCCTGATTTCATGTTGTTGATGGTCCTGATAGAAAAGATGAAGGTGACAAGAAAACAAACCTTAAGAGAATCTTCCTGAATCCTGTCTATATTTTGAAATCAAATCAGTTATAAATCTTTCCTCCTGCTGCCCTCGCCTCTCTCCTTCCCTCTCCCTTTATGGCTTTACGTTCCCACAATACTTCCCCCTGCACCACCTCCTATCCCAAGTTTTTGTTTTCCACCTATTCTTTGTCAAGTAGAGGGACTTACTGAGAAGAAAATAGGAAAGAAATACCATCTTCTCCCTTAAGATGCTTCCAAGCAAATAATAATTCCAAAATAAAATTATTAAATCTGATTTCTAGAATCCAGTTTGGGAAAATGCAGCCAGTGGGCAAAATCCTGCCTGCTGTTTCTTTTGGTAAATAAAGGTTTACTGAAACACAGCCATTCATTTATGTATTGTCCATGGCGGCTTGCGTGCTACAACATCCGAGTTGAAGACTTGTGACAGAGGCCATATGGCCCACAAAACCTAAAATATTTACTTTCCGGCTCTTTACTAAAAAAGTCCACCTCCCTCTAGTCTATAAGCCTAATTAAATTTAGATTCAATTTTTGGCAAACATCCTTACGTATTTTCATGAGGAAGCACATACTGTCTGTCTTGCTTCTGGCAATTATTGCCTGGATCCATTAATTCATCAGGAGTTACAAAATGCTGACATCCTAATTCTCTCTTCATTTGTTGGTTGAAATACTTCCATAAAAAGGAACTTTCCGGGGCCGGCCCGGTGGCGCAAGTGGTTAAGTGCTCACGCTCCGCTGCGGCGGCCTGGGGTTCGCTGGTTCGGATCCCGGGCGCGCACCGACGCACTGCTTGGCAAGCCATGCTGTGGCGGCGTCCCATATAAAGTGGAGGAAGATGGGCACAGATGTTAGCCCAGGGCCGTCTTCCTCAGCAAAAAAAAAAAAAAAAGAGGAGGATTGGTGGATGTTAGCACAGGGCTGATCTCCTCACAAAAAAAAAAAAAAAAGGAACTTTCCCTAATCAAATAGGTGGTCATTCTGACATAGAGTTCTTATAAGAAAGGCAGAATACATCTTTTTTTTTTTTTTTTGTGAAGAAGATCAGCCCTGAGCTAATATCCATGCCAATCCTCCTCTTTTCACTGAGGAAGACTGGCCCTGGGCTAACATCCGTGCCCATCGTCCTCCACTTTACATGCGACACAGCCACAGCATGGCCTGACAAGCTGTGTGTCGGTGTGCGCCCGGGATCTGAACCCAGGCCACCAGCAGCAGAGAGCACGCACTTAACCGCTATGCCACAGGGCCAACCCCAAGAATACATCTTGATTGCTGTATTAATCACTTTTTAAGATAAGACATTTATTTTCAGCATTATCCAAAGACGAACATTATGTGATCGTGAACTACCAGATTTTAAATGTATTTGATATATTTCAACACATTGCAGTTATTATTCAGATTGATTCTCAAATTGCCCCATCTTTGGCCAGTGAAAGCCTCCTCAACTTGCCTCCTGAGCCCTTGTGAAGTGAACCTAGCACTCTCATATCTCTCTTAACTTGGGCATGAAAGATTGTCTATGCCCATCAATGCCTTGGTCTTCAGTCTCCTGTGTTCCCATGTTCCCACATAGTGTGTATTGGCTGACACCACCAAAACAGGGCACATCTGCAGGACCTGAGATCAATAAAGATTAGAAAATGCTGCCTGGAGCAGGCCCCGTGGCTTAGCGGTTAAGTGCGTGTGCTCCGCCGCTGGCGGCCTGGGGTCGGATCCCGGGCACGCACCGACGCACCGCTTCTCTGGCCATGCTGAGGCCGTGTCCCACGTACAGCAACTAGAAGGATGTGCAACTATGACATACAACTATCTACTGGGGCTTTGGGGGGGGAAATAAATAAAATTGAAAAAAAAAAAAAAGAAAGAAAATGCTGCCTGACCAAATGAAGGCTTGCATGAATCTGTCATGCATCAAATATATGTGAATTATTTTAACAGATACTGGGCACAGGTGTCCTTCTCCACAGTCACTTAGGAACCCAGCCTGATAGGGGCTCCACAGTCTTATATCTGTATCATTTGGAATATGTGGCCTTTTCATGACAAACGTGGTGGATTTAAAATATGCCCACAAATTCTTTGATGCTTTCCATTAAGGAGAGAGATAAGTATACTGGGAAAACTCTTTATTATTTGAAGGCTGAAATGTCCTTCTCTGAAACTAGAGTGAAGCACTTCTCTTCCATAACAGAATAGTGTGAGAGAGGGCCGGCCCCGTGGCTTAGCGGTTAAGTGCGCGCTCTGCTGCTGGCGGCCTGGGTTCGGATCCCAGGCGTGCACCGACGCACCGCTTCTCTGGCCATGCTGACGCCGTGTCCCACGTATAGCAACTAGAAGGATGTGCACCTATGACATACAACTATCTACTGGGGCTTTGGGGGGGAAAAATAAATAAATAAATAAATAAGAATAGTGTGAGAGAGAATAACGTATAAGGAGTCTTAAGCAAATAAAATAATATTTAAGTGTGGCGTCTTCAGAGTCCTAGACAGAAAGTGTCTCTTAATTAGCTACCCCTGCAATCCAGCCCACTTAACAGCAGCCCCAGAATGGCTGCTGAAGAGATAGAAGGGAAATAGAAGCTAATACACTTGGATAATTATGCTTTCAGGGTAATGATGGGACTTACAAGAATAAATGCAAAATGTTAGGCATAGTACGTGCAAATGGTAAAACTTCATTTTATCTAATTATCTTTTTGTGTAGGAGAGAAAATAAGACACTCAGTTTTGGAAATTCCTTACCTTTTCCTCAGTAATTTCTAAAATAAACACACATGCCTTTTTCTGCTTAGCAGTCTTTGACCACATGAATGGAGGTTAAAAAAAGGGAGGGATAATTAACTGCAAAAATATTTAAATATTAATGGGAGTCATTACATTTAATCTCCATGCACAGAATAGTCTAGATAGATCTGTTTGCCCTTTTCTTTACTTCCTTCATAGATATCTCATCAGTGTCTTTCTTTCCCATTAGGTTTTCTTTCTTATCGCAATTTCTAAAAATGAAAATTAAGCCCTCTTTACTTAGTAGCATAGGTCCCTCCCTTTATTTTTATTTGTCTTCACCCATGTCTTTCATTTGTACCATAGATAATATTAAAAATTTTTTATTTCAAAAGTTCTCATCACAAGAAAGAAAAATGTTTAACTATGAGTGGTAATGGATGCCAACTGACCTTGTTCTGTCATTTTGCAATATATACATATATCAAACCATTATGTTGTACACTGAAAACTAATACAATGTTATATACCAATTATGTCTCAATCTAAAAAAAAGAAAATGTAGAGTAAGCTATCCATCAGATCCTCCCTCCAATTATTCCTCGTTCAGCCACCTCAGTCCCTGGTTCAGGTGAGGAGCTCCCTGGGGTCCAATTCAGGACCAACTCCAGGCCTCTCCTATCCCCTCTGTCTTATCCAGATTCCTAAGAAATTAGAGATCCTGGAGCACCCAAAAGAGACAAAAGATTGGCGTGCACTGGCAGTGTCCAAGCATCTGCCTACTGTTCTTATGAACTAATGAGTTAAAGTCACTTCTGTAATGGCATCTCAGTCAAATACATCATAGATTCACATGTGTACTATAGTTGAACGGTGCAAGTGATTCCACCAAGCTAAGCCCTTTGCTTCATAAATTGAGGCCGTGAGCAGGAAGTTGACTCTTTCCTGGAGAAAGACAAGTGATATGAAAACATCAACCATATGGGGATAAGACTTGAACTCAGACACTCCTTAGTTCAATTATGAATCCTCCAATTGTGACAGAGATCTGTGACTTGGGAAGATCTCTGAACCTCCCTGAACAGATTCAGTTTTCTCCTTTATATTGGGAACTACTATAAAATTGTACAAGGGTGTTGCAGGGATGAGAAATGAGTAGATGAAAAGCATCAAGCACCAGCACTCAGCACATGGGACCCTGCAATGACTTCTATCATTTTCCGTTTTAGCCGTGGGCAAGTCTTGATGCCTAGAAGGAAACTTGAGGGTGAGACTGGGTGAAAGAGGAAGGAGGGAAAAAAGAGGGAGGGCACTCCAAGAATAATGTCTCAGGGCTGAGAAAGGAGGGATGTGCTCAAATCCCCACTGGGAGCACTTATTGAGGTAGAGGAGGAAATAATCTAAATAAACATCAGGATGAGAATACATACACAAGTTAAGGCATACCCATGTTATGCTATGTTATGCTAATACTATTTTAATACTATTTCATCCTTCATTTTTTAAATGTTCATCATAATTTTTTTAAATATTCAAAATCAAAATAGTTACATTAGTTCTAGATGTATAAAATTAAACTGAGAAATTATTAAAGGAGAAAAGCAACAATGAAAGCTACAGTATGGTGAAATTTATGTAAATTGAAAATAATTAACTTGTTTATTTTTATGTTTTATAACGTTATATTTCAAGCATCCAAAAAAGTACAAAGAATGACAATGAATGGAACTTAAACCCACCAGCCAGCATGATCAAATTCAAATTCAAATATTGTGTCACACCTCAGTTTTTTGTTTTTTTTTTAATAAAGATCCTCTTAAAGCCCCAGTATATTCTTGCACAATCAATACTGACCTTCCCTCCCGGGGTGTAACCATGACACCGAACTTCACATGTATCAATTGCCTAGAGTTGTTTTATATCAGTTATGATGTATCTATAAACATTCTGTTTAGGGCCTGCCTGGTGACACAAGCGGTTAAGTGTGTGCGCTCTGCTGCGGCGGCCCGGGGTTCGCTGGTTCGGATCCCGGGCGTGCACTGACGCACCGCTTGTCAAGCCATGCTGTGGCAGCCTTCCATATAAAGTAGAGGAAAATGGGCACGGATGTTAGCCCACAGCCAGTCTTCCTCAGAAAAAAGAGGAGGATTGGCAGATGTTAGCTCAGGGCTGATCTTCCTCACAAAAAAAAAAAAAAAAAACACATTCTGT